TAGAGACCAGCTCTTGCTCAAGCTGGTCTAGAACTCCTAAGTTCGAGTGATCCTCCCACCTCTGCCCCCAGAGTGCTAGGATTATAGAAGTGAGCCACCGTGCCTAGCCTTAATCTTTTATTTAAACACATTTGCCAGTTTTTTGCTTCTTCCCCTCAATGTAAAAAACATGGAAGTAAAACTGTATATCAAATACAAGAAAAATGTATAACCCTTTCACCCTGAGATGATAATTTGCCACCCTGGTTTTTCACTCCTAGTCTTTTTTTCTTGGCCACTTTTTCTTTACGTAGATTATACTAGATGGGCAGGATTTTATCCACTTTTTTATAGTTATTTCAGATATTTCCCCTTTGCAAAACATTTTTATTTTCTTCATAATAATTCAATACAGGGGGCCACATTTCTCTTTTGGAATCAAAACATCTTGGTCACCTTTCCCACTTCAGGGAATGTTTGCACCAAAGCCAGAGGTGAATACTTTGCAATAATCTGAAATAGGTATGAAAATATGAATTTTTAAATCATATTTTTTAATGTTGATATTTATTATACATTAATTGAATGACTTGCCTCACTTTGGTATTTTTTATGTAAAGTCTATTTCATTTTTTATATGCTAAAATAGACTTCTAAGATATCTGGAATATATTCTGCGGATTTTCCCTGTTGTTTTTCTTGCCCATTCCTCTGCGCACATATCCCCAGACAAGTCCATCCTTGCCCAGGTACTTTCCACCCCTAGCAATCTTCTGTTCATCTCTCTTGAAACTTTGAAGATTTAAAGAGATTATTTGGTTGATAAGGCCTTTTGTTACAGGAGACACAGTTGTACAGTTTGAAAAAATAAAAGGCTTAATGTTTATTGCTGTCTTCTAGGTTGCTTCATCACTGGTCCCATTGATTAGCTTGGATTTGTGTAACTCTCCAGAATCCTTAAGGCTGCCTGTGGGAAGCCTATAGATTAGGCCTTTTTTATCCCATGGCTCATTGTCATCTATTTTTGAAATCTTTCTTAAAAAGGCTTTAAATAGCAGGCACTTTAATATGAAGTTATTCTAACTCTTACTGTCTTTGAACTTTTACGTATTTCAAATGAAAACCATTTGGTGTTTATTTGCTTTTTAGGACTAATTCTAATTTCAGGAAGTTGAAACCCTATTACAGTTTGTCTTGATTTTTATGCATTCTCATCTGAGAACTTACAATCATTCCTTTGAATTCAGTGAGGATCAGAGAGGAGTTGAGAAAGAAGTGAAATAAAGCAATTTTATTTCCACTTCCTTCTAAGTTCGGTCATTATAGATGTACTTTATTACTTGGGTTTGGAGGGACTCTTCAAACTGTCTAGCATATCTATTTAAGAATACTTTCAAAATTGTATTCTAAATATGAATATTGATCTCTCATGGTTAAAAGAAGAGTATGTTTTCAGTTATTACCAATTTTATTTAAAATGTAAACCAAGTATATTGAACGTGGTCGAGGTTTTTGCAGGACCACAACCTAATCATTTTGAATGTGCATTCTCATCATAGTCCAGTGTGATAGAACATCACATGGAATCTGCTAATCCCAAAATCTATCCCAGAAGCAGAGGTCTGAGGAATTAAAAAAAAAAAATCCTTAGCTTATTTTATCATTTACTTAATATCTTAATAAAAAGCATACAGAGGAGGGGGATTCTGACTGTTGGGCTGTATTTTGTCAGTGTTTCACTGTATAATTTTTAAAAGACTTCTTAGGCTAGGTGTGGTGGCTCACACCTGTAATCCTCATACTCTTCGAGACAGAGGCTGGAGGAGCACTTGAGCCCAGGAGTTTGAGGTTGCATTGAGCTATCCTGATGCTAATGCAGTCTAGCCAGGGTGACAGAGTGAGACTGCGTCTCAAAAAAAAGATTCTTAGTCATAAATTTTAATAATAT